GGTCGCACGCTCCCTCTGCACACAAAGAGGAACAGCGGAAGGCAATAACCTTTCATTATCTTAAAATCTCTTTGCATTTTACCCTATGATTTTGTTTTCACGGTGTGTGACAAATAAGACTAATGAATAACTTAGACAAAGGAGTGGGGTGTGTATGTGTGTTTATTGCCATGGAAACAATCTTTGGGCCAAGCTAAGGGAATAATTCTTTTAAGACTATTCCTGCTTTGCAAAGCCACAAGAATCCCAACGTTTGAGAGGTCCCGAAAGCATACGACCTTCACCAGCTCATACAACATCACCAAAGGTCAGCGTCCAATTTAGCACTTTTTATACACCTTCTTGGTTAGTTAAGTGCACCCCAGTACTGCACTGACACATGCACCCCCATTCTGCTGCTGCTCCTTTCCCAGACCTCGCACACTGGCTGCTCTCCTGTATTTGCTCTGGAGAAGAGAAAACCAAAGGACCAGGCTCTGCAACCGCAGGGCAAAGTGCTGAAGGTGTCCTGGCAATGCCGAGTCCTCGCCTCCAGTAAATACCTTCCCGGGGCTGTTAATGAGTGAGGAAGATAATGCTGTAACTAAGACACTCACCGAGTGTCTTCTGACTCGGTTCATTTAAAATCGGTGGAAGGTCAATCCACCATTTCCAGCTGGAGCTCCTTAAACCTGGATTTTAGCACGGGGAGTCTGCAGGAGTATAAAAGCCTCCGAGGCTGATGGGTTTGGATCATGTGGGGTGAATCCCCATGCAACCCACACACAGAGCGGGCTGGGAAGGTTGATCCGGGGGAAGGAGCGGCGGGGGCAAAGCTGCACAAGGCAAAGGGAGGTTTTGCAAGAAGCAGCACGCAAGGTTGCACCAACCCTGTCTGGGCAGGCTCCAACCTTCGGCCAGCCAAGTGCTGCTTGCGCTAAGCAAAACAACTTTACAGAAGCTACGGGCGAAAAGTAAAAGCTGCTAAAGAGAAATCTTGTCTCCTGTGCAGGGAGTTTTATTTCTGAAGGGATGAGTTGGCTATCGCTGAGAACACAGAGGACATCGGCACACGAGTTAACGTCGTCCAGCGTCACGGCAAAGGGTTAAGGAGGGGATTTCTACACGCTGAATACAGACAGGAAATATTTAGTTCACGTTTCAGGTAACTGCCTCCCTTCCTAGAGGCAACTAGACAAAAAAACCTACGAGAAAATCTGCAACGGGTGAAGTTTACAATAGTTTGGGAAGCCGCAGTGCAGCTGCAAACCAACCAGGTGTTACTGGGAGACTTTCCACGCCGACAGCAGAGCCGGGCGGGCGGGAGGCGGCTGCCGCGCCCCAGCAGGGCGCAGCTCAGGGCTGTCAGCCCCCGCGGCCGGAGCCCACCGCCCTGCCCAGCACCCCGCCTGCTACAGGGCTGCTGAGAACATGCC